TGGTCGGTCACCGGCTTCGATGCTTCCACCTGACGCACGGCACTACGAGCTATCGACAAGCCTGCATCAATCCAATGGTTGTCAGCCGAATTAGCATCATCAGTACCGCCACTACGTAAACCCGCAGTTTGCCCCACTACAGTTGATGTCATCAACATGAGATGAGTGGCACGTGCAAAGCGCCAGAGGAAGCCCGGATATTGCTTGTACTGCAAGTAGAAGGGAGAAAAGTGGTAAATGACATGCCCTAAGTCAAAAAACAGATCCGATTGTTGGCTTCACTACAACTCAAGATAAACGAAGGAGAAGGAGGTGACCCACCTGCTTTTTATACTCTAAACAGCGGTTGAAAGCCAAACTAGCCGCATCAGATGCCGAAGAAGTACTGGCCAGACGGACAACAGCTGCCAGGTTGTCCAACTCCTCCGCCACTGCATAGGGCAGCGGCCGATCTGGCGGCGGCGCCATTGATAAAAGTGAAACATTAGAGGAGATGGACTGAAAGGAGGTTTCGGAACCTATCTCGCTGCAAAGCAGTAAAAGCCTTACCATCACACATAGATTGGACAAAAAATTAGCTTAAATAAAGCAGCAAAACAACCCTCAGGATATTAAAAAATCTCCACAAAAGAAGCTGTAGTTGCAGCATTATTACATGCTGGTAGCCAATGCAATGGCAAGCAACAGTCATTCCACCGATGGCTACCATACATCAACCTATGAGATTGAAAGACCTTGTCGTCCCTCATTTTCTCGCCCCATCCTCCATTGCCATATCATTATCAGTGCCTTCCTCTCAATCAGCCAGCCAGTCAGTCAACTGATCGACGCCCAAACCGCCTATTTGTCATGTGCTAAAATCACACAAGAAACCATCCCTCACATGAAAAATGTGCAGTCACCCACGAGCTTTTGCCATCTCCGAGTGACATCGTACATTGGCCATCCCATGACACCAAAGACATATTGAGACCCTGTGGGCACTATTTAAACGCCAAAAGAAATAAACATACAAAACGATGAAAGTCTATGCAAGAAATAAGATATTCTGCCTCAGAAAACGTGGAGCCTCCGTCCTCCAAAAAATGGCTAAGAGCCACCCACGTCCACCTTCTTCTTGATGGAGTATTTTTCCACTAGTCATACTAGAACAGTGAATCATTCAAGGATGTGATACTTCCATGCTTCATAAAAACCTATATGAACAGCTAAGCAGGATCAAAGCAATGCGATAGCATAAGGAATGAGATGATAAAACAACTAAGCGGGTTGCTTTGGGTCAATCCTTTCTTTGTAAATTGATTATCTTCGGTTACGATGGAAGGTTCCCTCACCCCTCCAACAATAGCTTACTCCAATTCAACTACCAGGCTGGCAGTGTGGAGTAATGTTAACCGCTAATCAGCTTCCTTGCGCGTCAATAGT